ACCTAAATGTTCATCAGCAGATGAATGGATAAAGAAAATGTAACTATACAAAGGGATTATTATTCAGCCATAAAAAAAGAATGAGATACTCTTTTTTTTTTTTTTTTTGAGACGGAGATTCACTCATGTTACCCAGGCTGGAGTGCAATGGCGCGATCTCGGCTCACCGCAACCTCCGCCTCCTGGGTTCAGGCAATTCTCCTGCCTCAGCCTCCTGAGTAGCTGGGATTACAGGCACGCGCCACCATGCCCAGCTAATTTTTTGTATTTTTAGTAGGGATGGGGTTTCACCATGTTGACCAGGATGGTCTCGATCTCTTGACCTCATGATCCACCTGCCTCGGCCTCCCAAAGTGCTGGGATTACAGGCTTGAGCCACTGCGCCCGGCTGAGATACTCTTTTTTGCAACAACATGTGTGGAACTTGAGGACATCACGTTAAGTGAAATAAGTCAGGCACAGAAAGACAAACTTTGATTCATTTGTAGGAGCTAAAAATTAAGACAATTGAACTCGTGGAGATAGAGAATAGCATGATGGTTACCAGAGGGTGGAAGGGTAATGTATGGGGGTTGTTGATTGGCAAATGGGGATGGTTAATAGGTACAATAATATAGATTGATAGAATAAATAAGATTTAGTATTTGATAGCACAACAGATTAACTACAGTCAGCAATAATTCATTGTATATTTTAGAATAACTTGGAGAGTACAATTGGAGTGTTTGTAACACAAAGAAATGATGAATGCTTGAGGTGATGGATACCTCATTTACCCTGATGTGATTATTACACATTGTATGCCTATATCAAAATAACTCATGTACCCTATAAATATGTATACCTACTATGTATAAAAATTAAAAAGAGTGTATATCTCAAAAATGAAAAAGTCACTTGGATGGCAAACTTACCGAATTGTTCAGTTTAGCAGACAACTATGGTTTTTGTTGTTGCTTTTTGAGACAAAGTCTCGCTCTGTCACTCAAGGTGAAGTGCAATGGCACAATCTCAACTCACTGCAGCCTCCACCTTTCAGGTTCAAGTGATTCTTCTGCCTCAGCCTCCTGAATAGCTGGGACTACAGGCACATGCCAACATGCCCAGCTAATTTTTGTATTTTCAGTAGAGACAGGGTTTCACCACATTGGCCAGGCTGGTCTTGAACCCCTGACCTCAGGCAATCCACCCTTCTTGACCTCCCAAAGTGCTGGGATTATAGACGTGAACCACTGTGCCCAGCCAACAACTATGTTTTATATAGTCAATGATGTTTTATGTACTTTACATATGTTTTATATATTACTTTAATGTCTTGTTATTTTTCTAAAGTTTCTTTTCTGTCTCTATTCAAATTATAATCATCCTAGCCTTGCTCTGCACTTAAGTCTCTGTTCTTTTTTTCTACCCAGATGATTAACTTAACTCCCACAGCTCTCATAGTGGAAAACTACTGAGCTAAGTAATAATGAAATGGAAGAAGTGAGGTTTGGTGCTGAATAGAACTTGGTTCCAGTTCTGGTTCTACTAGCTCTTCTCCTTAGACAAGTTACTTTACTTCCTGAGCCTATATTTCTTTTTCTGTAAAATGGAGATCAGACCTATCTTGCTGTTTTTTTTTGTTTTTTCTTTTTTTGAGACGGAGTCTCGCTCTTTCACCCAGGCTGGAGTGCAGTGGTGCTATCTCAGCTCACTGCAATCTCTGCCTCATGGGTTCAAGCAGTTCTCAAAGTGCTGGGATTACAGGCATGAGCCACTGTACCTGGCCATGTTTTGAGGATTAAATGAGGAAATGTTTGTAAAATTCCTGATTTTTTTTTTTAAGTGGTCAAGTGCTGTTCACACCTGTAATCTTAGCACTTTGGGCGGCTCAGGTGGGAGGATCACTTGAGGCCAGGAGTTCAAGACTAGCCTGGGCAACATAGGTCTTTTTGAAACTTTGTATTTCAAAAAAAAAAGCTGTCAAGGGTGAGACCCATGACTCTGTGTTTTAAACAAGCTTCTCAGGTAGTTTGAAGCACATTATCAACAGACACACTTTGAGAAATGCACTACCCTTGGGTCCTTAGTTCCAAGTATAGTTTTGCTAGTAAATAGGTTATAGCATTAATTTTTAGCATTTCCACTTTCTGGGCCTTATGTTTCTTCAAATATAAAATGAACTCGATGTTTTTTTACTAGCTATAAAATTAGAAAACTTTGGTTTTAAAAATTATTATTTTTTTTAGTGATGGGGGTCTTGCTGTGTTGCTAAGTCTAATCTTGAACCCCTGGGCTCAAGAGATCCTCCTGGCTTGGATTACAGGAATGAGCCCCTGCACCTGACCCTATTTTATTTTATTTTTATTTTTATTTTTATTACTTTGTTTATTTTGAGACGGAATTTCGCTCTTCTTGCCCAGTCTGGAGTGCAATGGCATGATCTTGTCTTACTGCAACCTCTGCCTCCTGGGTTCAAGCAATTCTCCTGCTTCACTCTCCTGAGTAGCTGAGATTACAGGTGTCCACCACCATGCCTGGCTAATTTTTTTGTATTTTTAGTAGAGACAGTGTTTTGCCATGTTGGCCAGGCTGGTCTTGAATTCCTGACCTCAGGTGATCCACCCGGCTTAGCCTCCCAAAGTGCTGAAATTACAGGTGTGAGCCACCGTGCTCAGCCTGTGTTTTATTTTTAAATTTCTGTTTATATTTTAGATTCAGGAGGTATGGCAGATTTGTTATAAGGGTATTGTGTGGTGCTGAGGTTTGGACCTCTATTGATTCCATTACCCAGATAATGAACATACACAATAGGAAGTTTTTTAGCCCTTGCCTGCCTCCCTCCTTTTGGAGCTCCCAGTGTCTGTTGTTCCCATCTTTATGTTCATGTGAACCCAAGATTTAGCTCCTAGTTATAACTGAGAACATGCGATATTTGGTTTTTTGTTTCTGCATTAGTTCACTTAGAATAATGGCTTTTAGCTGCATCTGTGTTGCTGCAAAGGACATTATTTCATTCTTTTTTGTGACTGCAAAGTTTTTGTCTTATAACCCTAAATTTTTTTTGAGACAAGGTCTTGCTCTGTTGCCTAGGCTGGTGTGCAGTGGCACTGTCACAGCTCACTGCTGCCTCAAACTCCTGGGGTCAGGCAATCTTCCTGCCTCAGCCACCTGTGTAGCTGGGACTACAGGCATATGCCATCATGCCTAGCTAATTTTTACTTTTTTTCGTAGAGACAAGGTCTCACTATGTTGCTCTGGCTGGTCTCAAACTCCTGGGCTCAAGCGATCCTCTTGCCTTGGCCTCCCAAAGTGCTAGGATTACTGGTATGAGCTACTGCAGCCAGCCAACCCTAAATTTTTGTTCTTGTGGATGTAAATATTTGGTCTGGTGGTGCTGATGCCACTTTTTGGCACCGATTTAATGGAAGTACTTAAATGTTTTGTTATTTGGGAACTCAGAGTATTCTTCCTTCTTTGAAGGCTGTGGTAGAACTAGATTAAGCAAAAATATTCAGGGAGATCTCATGGAACCTCAGGATGCAGTTAGCCTTAAGAATTGGAGATTAGAGCAGAATAGGGAAATGTTTTCCCCTGCAAATTGGTCTCAATCCCTTGACGACTTCTGCCTTCCAGGCGGTATTATAGAAAATGGCCTTGGCCAGCAGCTCCTGAGTTTACATGGCTTCCATTTTAGAAAGCTGCCATTGAGACTGGAATATCTTAATTCCAATTGCAAATAGCCAGGAAGGTAACTGTGGTTGTGTGCACTGGGTACAGTGCTGACTTCTGGCAATGTCTAAGAAGGCAGACTCATGTTGTTAAGATGGCCCTGGGATTCTTGCCACTTTTCTTTGAGTTGCAGGGCTTGGTTGGAAGTGGTAGTGGTAGACTGGGTAGGTAGCCACCTCCTTTATGAAAATATTTCACTAATTGAGGAATCACAATGTTGTATTTTGCATAGAACCCTTACTTACAATTGAGTCTCATGGAAAAAAGTAGAAATAGGGAGAGACAGGCTAAAAGAAAAAGTAGGCTTATGCTTTTATTCTTAGTTATGTACCAGATGGGACGGAGCCTTCTATAGTTACTTCTACTGGACTGTGCTGTTTCATCAACAGTGAATTTTTAGATTGCTTTTAGATATAGTTTTCCTTTTTTAAAAATTATATAATATATAATCTTGAAGTCTCCTTGTAATCTTTGTTTTATATATTTGGAATTAATTTTTCAAATAAAAAGAAAATTATATGAGGCTATAAAAGACATTGGTAAAAAGAAGCAGACAGGCTTTGCATTTTAATTTTTTTTGTTTTGTTTTTTTGAGACAGTGTCTCACTCTGCTGCCCAGGCGAGTGCAGTGGCATGATCTTGGCTCACTGAAACCTCTGCCTCCCAGGTTCAAGTGATTCTCCTACTTCAGCTTCCTGAGTAGCTGAGATTATAGGTGCTTGCTACCATGCCTGGCTAATTTTTATATTTTCAGTAGAGATGGGGTTTCACCGTGTTGGCTAGGCTAGTCTCAAACTCCTGACCTCAAGTAATCTACCCGCCTAGGCCTCCCAAAGTGCTGGGATTACAGATGTGAGCCACTGTGCCCAGCCTCCATTTTAATTTTATCTCTGCCTTTTAGTGACTGATTTTTTTATCTCTCTGTGAAATGAGCATAGTAAGCCTTATATCATGGATTATCTGAGAATCAATTGTCATGATGTGTGTCAAGCTCTTATACTATGTTTCCTAGAAAGTAGGTGCTCAATGAATGATAGATATTATCATTGTTATTTTGTTACTTGGAATGTAATTGGTGATCTTTATGATATTCTACTCATGGCAAAGACTGACTGTATCTTGGGCTCTAAATATATCAGTGTTATTTGAGGGTAAAGACATAAAGCATTTTTTAGATCTGAAAACCAAGAACTAGAATGTGAAAGGAAATATTTTTGCATTGAGCATTTAATGCTATGTATTTATTCATTAAAGAATTTAAATGGAAATTTTTTTGATCTCTTATTTAGTGTCAAACCAGAAGAGAAGTAAAATTCAGCAAAAATTTATATGTGGAGTTCCTTCTTAAAAGAAGAAAAAGGTGATTATTGAGACTATGGATCGGAGCAAACGGAATTCAATTGCGGGATTTCCTCCACGTGTAGAGCGTCTTGAAGAGTTTGAAGGAGGTGGTGGAGGAGATGGAAATGTGAGCCAGGTCGGAAGAGTTTGGCCATCTTCATATAGAGCTCTTATAAGTGCCTTTTCCAGACTGACGCGTTTGGATGATTTCACCTGTGAAAAAATAGGGTCTGGCTTCTTTTCTGAAGTGTTCAAGGTGAGTGATACTTCAGCTTTTCTCATATTGTCTTGCTGTGGTCACATTTACTGCAGGTTGATAGTTGTGTTTAATTAGGATGTAGGATTTGCCTAATCAAGGTGCTGTAGATTGAACACTGTTCTAAATTCTCTTTTCAAGCTATTTATTAACTTACATTAAGATATTTTATTTGGGCCGGGCACGGTGGCTCGAGCCTGTAATCCCAGCACTTTGGGAGGCTGAGGCGGGTGGATCACGAGGTCAAGAGATCGAGACCATCCTGGTCAACATGGTGAAACCCCATCTCTACTAAAAATACAAAAAATTAGCTGGGCATGCTGGTGCATGCCTGTAATCCCAGCTACTCAGGAGGCTGAGGCTGGAGAATTGCCTGAGCCCAGGAGGCGGAGGTTGCGGTGAGTCGAGATCACGCCATTGCACTCCAGCCTGGGTAACATGAGTGAAACTCCGTCTCAAAAAAAAAAAAAAAAAAAAAAAAGATTTTTTGTTTGAATCCCAAAAATAATATGTGCTGGTTAAAAATTCAAATTGTATAGGAGTATCTTCCACCTTACCTTTACCCCTACCCACACATGTGTATATGTATCCACACATACATTCTTCAGTAATAACCACTATTAACAGTTTGGTGTGTATACTTCTGAACTCTGTGCTTATACATACATCATACACACACCTTATATACATAAAGATTATATATATATATATATATATATATATATACACACCCACATATATAGTTTTTGTTTGCTTATCTTCGGTAAAATTGATAGCTGGGTATAGTGGCATGCATCTGTAGTCTGAGCTACTCAGGAGGCTCGCTTGAGGCTATGAGTTCAAGAGCAACCTGGGCAACATAGCAAGGCTCTGTCTCAAAAAAAATGAGCCCTTAATGCTCCTAAGCATTCGTATTTCCCTAGTTCACATCCTCCCTCAGGAGGGTCTTTTCTTCTCTCATCAAATCCCAGTATTTCCTCTCTCGTCCTTATTGTCAGTAATTAATGAATTGCTTCCTAATTCACTGAGAAAATTGAAGCAAGTAGAAGAGAACTTCCACAGACTCCCATTACTACAAATAGCTATCCACACACATCTTTACACAGTTATTTGGCCCTTATACCTTGTGCTATGGATCAACTACCCATGCTCCTAAGTTCATTATTTCTGTTTATATTGTACATCCCGTTTCTATTTGCCTGCTGATAGGCATTGCCTAAGAAATTCTCCCCTCTCTTTTCTGCATTGTATATTCACTACTAAGTATTCCCATTAGCATGTTAAAAAATTCTTTTAAGGAAAAAAAACCGTTTTGGCTTTATTATTATTATTATTATTATTTTTTTTTTTTGGGACGGAGTTTCGCTCTCGTTACCCAGGCTGGAGTGCAATGGCGCGATCTCGGCTCACCGCAACCTCCGCCTCCTGGGTTCAGGCAATTCTCCTGCCTCAGCTTCCTGCATAGCTGGGATTACAGGCACGCGCCACCATGCCCAGCTAATGTTTTGTATTTTTAGTAGAGACGGGGTTTCACCGTGTTGACCAGGATGGTCTCGATCTCTTGACCTCGTGATCCACCCGCCTCGGCCTCCCAAAGTGCTGGGATTACAGGCTTGAGCCACCGCGCCCGGCCTTTTATTTTATTTTTTGAGATGGAGTCTCACTCTGTCACCCAGGCTGGAATGTAGTAGTGCAATATCGGCTCACTGCAACCTCTGCTTTCCAGGTTTAAGCAATTTCCTGCCTCAGCCTCCCTAGTAGCTGGGATTACAGGCCCTATAACCACACCTGGCTAATTTTTATATTTTTAGTAGAGACAGGGTTTCACCATTTTGGCCAGGTTGGTCTTGAACTCCTGACCTCAAGTGATCCGCCTGCCTTGGCCTCCCAAAGTGCTAGGTTTGCAGGTGTGAGCCACTGTGCCTGACCTATTTTATTAATTTATTTTATTTTTTGAGACAGGGTCGTGCTCTGTCACCCAGGCTAGAGTGCAGTGTGGTGTGATCATGGCTCACTGCAGTCTTGACCTCCTTGGGCTCAGATGATCCTCCCACCATAGCCTCCAGAGTAACTGGGACTAAAGGTGCATGACACCATGCCTGGCTAATTTTTGTATTTTTTGGAGAGATGGGGTTTCACCTTGTTGCCCAGGCTGCTCTCAAACTCCTGGGCTCAAATGATCAACCTGCCTTGGCCTCCCAAAGTGTTGGGATTACAGGCAAGAGCCACCATACCCAGCCCCTATTGTTTCTTTTATTAATAGCCGTACTTTCCTATGTCTGTTATTTTTGGACCGAAACAGCTCCAGAATTGTCTCTACATACCTTCTCTAAAATACTTTTTATCGTAGTAAAATGTATATAACAAATTTATCATCTTAGTCATTTTTTTTTTTTTTTTTTCTTTGTATATCAAGACGGAGTTTTTCTCTTTTTTCCCAGGCTGGAGTGCAATGGCGCGATCTCGGCTCACCGCAACCTCCGCCTCCCGGGTTCAGGCAATTCTCCTGCCCCAGCCTCCGAGTCGCTGGGATTACAGGCACGCGCCACCATGCCCAGCTAATTTTTTGTATTTTTAGTAGAGGCGGGGTTTCACCATGTTGACCAGGATGGTCTCGATCTCTTGACCTCGTGATCCACCCGCCTCGGCCTCCCACAGTGCTGGGATTACAGGCTTGAGCCACCGCGCCCGGCCATCTTAGTCATTTTTTAAGTGTACAGTTCAGTGTCATTAATTAATTACATTTATAATGTTGTACAACCATCCCCATTATCCTTTTCCAGAACTTTCTCATCATTCTAAGCGGAATCTCTGTATCCATGAAACATTAACTCACTAATTCTCCCATCTGTAACTGTAAATAGGTTCATTACCCAATGCACATAGCAAGTCAATAAGCTGAAAAATCAGATTGCAGCAGAGAAAGGTTTAATCATAGGGCCACCGAATGAGGAGATGGAGGGAAACCTCAAATCCATCTCCCTAGAAGTTTGGGGTTAAGGTTTTTAAGGGTTTTGTAGTGGGCCAAACTGTGGCAATTGTTTACTGGTTAAAGAGTACAGGGGAAGTCATAATATCTTCTACTTTCTGTTTTTATGAATTTGCTTATTCTAGGTACCTTATGTAAGTAGATTATATAATATTTATCCATTTGTGTCAGAGTTAATTCACTTAGCAAAATGTTTTCAGGGTTATCCATGTTGTAGCATATATCAGAATTTCATTCTGGCTAATATTTTATTATATGTATATGTCATATTTTATCTGTTTGTTGATGGTGGAGTTGTTTCCACCTTTGGGCTATTGCGAATGATGCTGCTATGAATATTGATATACAAGTATCTGTTTGGTTCTCTGCTTGGAATTTTTTTGGGTATTTAGCTATAAATGGAATTGCTAAGTCGTTTGAGTACTTCTATGTTTAACTTTAAGAAAAGACTATGGTAAAATACATATAAAATTTACTATCTTGGCTGGGCATGGTGACTCAAACGTGTGATCCCAGCAGTTTGAAAGGCCAAGGCGGGAGGATTGACTGAGCTCAGGAGTTTGAGACCAGCCTGGGCAACATGATGAAACCCTGTCTCTGGGGAAAGAAAAAAACAAAACAAAACAAAACACATTTTTTTTTCTTACCATCTTGATAGTATTTAAGTATGTTAAGTACATACTTAACAGTTGTGTTACGTATGTACACGTGGTTGTGCATCCAAACTCCAGAACTTTTTCATTTTGCAAAACTGAAACTCTGTACTCATTAAACAACTCCCCGTTTCTCCATTCCCCTCAACCCCTGGCAACCACTATCCTCCTACTTTATTTCTAAGAGTTTGACTACCCTAGATATCTTATGTAAGTGAAAACATAGAGCATTTGTCTTTTTTTTGACTGCCTTATTTCACTTAGTCAATCTATGTTTAACTTTTTGAAGACCCACCAAACTGTTTTCCATAGTGGTTGTGCCATGTTACAGTTCTATCAGCAATACATAAGGGTTCTAATTTCTCTACATGCTCACTGGCACTTATTTTTCTCTTTTTCTTTTTCATGATGGTCATCCTAATTGGTGTGAAAAGTGGTGTCTCGTGGCTTTGATTTGCATTTTTCTAAACAATAAGCATTGTTTCACATGCTTATTGATCTTTTTTGTATATTTTCTTGGAGAAATGTATATTTGAATCCTTTGCTCATTTTTGAATTGCATTGTATTTATTTATTTTCTATACAGGGAATATTATCCCTTCCTAGATATATGATTTGCAAATATTTTCTCACAAGTTGTAGTTTGTCTTTTTACTCCCTTGATGGCGTCATTTTTTGCACAGATGTAAAATTTGATTAAGTCCAATTAATTTTTTCTTTTGTTACCGTTGCTTTGTGTCAATCCAAGAAATTTTCACCAAATCCAGTATAATGAAGATTTTCCACAATGTTTTCTTCTAAGAGTTTTATAGTTTTAACTCTTACATTTAGGTTATTGATCATTTTAAGTTAATTTTTCAATATGGTGTAAATAAGGGTCCAATTTCATTCTTTTGCCCTGGATACCAAGTTTTTGCCCTGGATACTATTTGTTGAAAAGACTGTTCTTTTCCCATTGAATGGTTTTGGCACCCTTCATGTCACAGTCAACCATGTTAGCAAGGGTTGCTCTCTCTCTCTTTTTGTTTTTTTTTTTTGAGACAGAGTCTCATTCTGTCACCTAGGCTGGAGTGCAGTGGTGCTATCTCACTGCGCCCTTGACCTCCCAGGCTCAAATGATCCTCCCACCTCGTCCTCCCGAGTACCTGGGACTATAGGCACACACCACCATGCCTGGCTAATTTTTATATTTTTTTGTAGAGTTGTGGTTTCATGATGTTGCCTAGGCTGGTCTTGAACTCTTGGGCTCAAGTGATCAGCCTGCCTCTGCATCCCAAAGTGCTGGGATTACAGGTATGCACTGCTGTGCCTAGCCTCTTTCTTTTTCTTTTTCTTAGAGACAGTGTCACACTTTGTCA